TGCCTCCTGCACATGACCTGACTGGGGCCAGGGATAGAGCCTGCAACTGAGGAACTTGCCCTTGGTCAGAATCTAACCGAAGACCCTTCAGTCCAAGGACCAACACTCTAATCACTGAGCCAAACTGGCCAGGGATCCACATGCCTTTTAGGGATAAAGAAAGTTGTGTCACCTGATCCCAACACAGAGGCTCTCTCCCAGGGGATCCTGCTGGGCTCTGAGGATAACCAAAAGCAACCCAGCACCCTTTCTGCCCAGAGGAGGAGATCACAGTTAGATGGTTAGCCACCCCCTACTGGTTAAAGGAAACCACCCTTTAACTGGCACCCCTCCTGCCCAAGCAGGGAAGAAGCAAGGCCTGATCAGACTACCGAGGGGGCACCAGCAAAGAGATGGCAGGCAGGGTCACTACCAGAGGACAAGGGATAGGCTCAGCTTGACTGCGAGATTCAGGTGCACCCATGCAGACTCACGGGGACAGAGAATGAGCCCAAAGCCAGCATAAAGCCCTTACAGTTTTCCAGGGCAGGGAGAAGGCTCCCACCATTGACATCTGCCCAGTCCCTAGAGGGAGTCCTGTAACTCCCCAGTGCAGGTGCACTGAACTGGGCACCTACTCAGTGCAGGGCCGTGTGCATCTGCAAAGGGGAATATGAGGGGCAGGAGATGTAGCTGCACCCCTTGAAGAGGCTATGCCAAAATAAACAGCAATTCAGCACCACAGCAGATAACCTCTTTAAGCTGTTCTCTCATCTGTCAAACAGAGACAACCTTCATCTCATATAATTTTAGTAGGGATTAAATGAGATCACTCTTATAAAGTGCCGGAGTCTACTCTGTAGATGCTCAATAAATGGTAATTATTACTAAAAACACACACAACAGAAGAGATATCACAGGGCAGGCTAGGCCTAATGCCAAAGTTGTGGATAAATAATAATGGAAGATGGGTTTGGGGGAGAAGTGAAAGCAACTGCTGTGGGCTAGAGTAGGCTGGGAAGACCGCCCAAAGGGGACGGGATCTGAACAGGCCCTGAAAGCTGCCATAGCGAGCTGGCCACTGTGCTGGGCATTCCCACACTCAGTCTCTACATGACTACTAGAAAGCAGAGATGGCATGTCACCTTACTGATGAGGCAAGTCAGGTTCAGAGGAACAAGGTGCCTGGCCCAGGCTTCCTAAGCATGTCTTTCCTTTCCACCAGAGCTGGAGGGGTGGGGCAGGGCGTGCCTCACAGGTGCTCAGCGAAATGAAGTCCAAGCAATATGACCAACCCAGGCCCCCTAAGTGCCCTGGCACTTCTGGAGACACATGTCCTATCTAAAGGCTTCCTCCTAGTCCTCAGCTGACCTCCCCTCCTACTGTCCTGCAGTCACTCAGCTGTTTTCCCAAAGCCCAAAAGGTCACTTCTTCTTTTTAAAGGTCCCATCTGGGCTTCTTGTGACAGTTTCAAGGTGACCTTTAAGTTGTTCCTCTCTTCTTTTGACAAGTGGGAGAGTAGAAATCTAGTCTTATTTTTACAGGAAACAAGTTGCTGGCTCTGATATCCAGGCATGTACAGTGGACAATAATGATACCCATTCGCCCCTACTCACAGACTTGACCTAGAAGCAAATGTCAGGATATACCTTGCAAAGACCAAAACAAGCTATACAATGTAAAGGGACAAAGGAATGCCTTTTTGCCTCTGGTCAGGAGACAAGATGAAAACCTGCTTTATGGGCTCCTAGGCCTCTGCCAGGAGTTCCGGGTCAGGGATATGGGCAAACAAATGCAGTGGATGCCAGTAGTGAGCTGGGTTACAGGGAGGCTCACCCTTGGCACAAGTACTGGACTGGGAGCCAGGTGAACTGGGGACAAAGCAGAATTCATGCAGGGTCCAAATCACAATGTGTGGTGGGGGTGGGGAATGGACCTAACCTAAGGCTTGGGGTGACTCTCCCAGTTCTCCCAGTTTTCTAAACCCCCTCATGCCACTAGCCCCTCCTCACCAAGGAAAAGGCAAGAATGCCTAACTGTCAGAGACAGAAGAAAGTCCCAGAGAAAGGAAGTGACTTGCCTACTCACCCACTGAATCAGTTAGAGGAGAAACCCAAAGCATCTACTCTAAAACTTCAGCTCCGACTGTCTACCTGAAGCTCTGCTCAGTGATATTAGGATAGGAATGAGAACTGCACACAGCACTTTCCAGGCTTAAAGGAGGGGAACCTTGCAAGGGAAGCAGCTGCCACATAGGCGACAGAATGGGGGCTCCAACATCGCTCCTACTCACACTGGGGCACTGAGAGAACAGGCAAGACCCCAAAATGAACTCCTAGGTTCTTGGGTATCTGATAGTGCAGAGAGAGCATGGCCTCAGCCCCCAACCCTATCCCCTAAGTCAGTTAGTGCCATCTCCCCTCCCACCAAAACCAGCTCCTTAGGCAACTGAAGTGAAAGGGAAACAAAGTCAGTAGAACATACCCCAAACCCTGAAACCTTAAGGAACGACACCCTGTGGCAGTTTATAGTTGAGAGATTTGTAATCCTCCCACCTCAGAGGAAGACTGTCGGAGTCTGAGGTGGGGATGCATTTGCTTTAGGTGGTTAAAATACCAACAGGGGCAGTTGCCCCTCACTGAGTGCTTCCTGTGAGTACAAAGACAACTTTCTATGCATTAATTTGTCATCAGCACATCAGCAGCACTATGGCTAATACTACTATTTCCCCATTTTTGAGGAAACTGAGGCACAGAAAGGAGAAGGGGGAAAAAGTGGTAGAGCCCTCATCTAACCTCAATTCTACACTGCAAAAGTAAAGGGAAAAAAGGGCTTTCACTTTTGCCAACTGAACAGGGACCCTTGAGATCTTTCTGTCACCTTTCTATTTTCTTCCCCAGGAAGGCCAGATGCTAGGACTCCTCTGTCTTCATTTCAGAAAAATGTCCTACTAAGCCAGAAACAGAATTTTGGAACAGCGAAGGCCTTCAAAGATCATATCCAACCTCCTCATTTTACAATGGGAAAACTGAGGCCCCAAGGCTGAGTGACTTGCCACTCATTGAAATGGCAGACCTAGAAGGGGCCACAAAGACCAACTGACAAGAGATGTGTGACTGGCCCAAGGTCACAGAGAAAGGTGGGCTGAGAAGCCAAGTTTCCTAACTTCTAGACTAATACCCTTGCTGTGGTACCATCTCTGTTCTCCTGCTGCCCAGGGTCCCTGGCACAGGTGCTGGTGGGGAAAAAGCAGGCCAAATCTGACCCCATTAGAACTAGAGATATCAGGTCTGCAGGGATATCTCCTGCAGGCCAGAGTAAGATCTTTGTGGTCATGCTGTCATCCCACCAGAAGTCACTGAGACCTGCAACGTGTGTACCAGCCTGCAATGCCCTAACACAATGCCAGGTGTGGTTGGAAGGTGAGGGGGTTGGAGAGAGGAGGGCAATTTAAAGACAGTGCTTGTGAGGTCTTTTCCTGGTCTCACACAAGCAAATGACACATCATAGTCACTTCAGTTTCTTACAACAAATGACTCAATTGATAGGGTCAAATTTAGATTCTTGCCAGTTTCACAGGGGGGCAAGACGTGCAAAAAAAAGGACCCCGCTTGTTCAAGGTCATGTTATTTGTCAGAATCAGTACACATGGCTCTCCTTGTCCAGTCCTTGATTTTTTCCAGGGAACTGGCTGCCATCAGAGTATAGGTGCCAATGGCCCAGGTCCATGTATAGGCCAGGCCCTGCTACTGTCACAGCACCCAAGCCCCGTACCAGGAAGCAAGCTCCTGGATGTGTCAAAACAGAGTGCCTTCCTGCATGTCCCGTAGCCTGCCTCTCACCAGCCTGGCATTGCCACTCAGCTCCTGTATGTCCTTGGGAAAGCTGCAAGCCTTCCTGCCAAGAGTCACAAACTCCCCAAACCCAAACCATCAGAGTACCAGGCCCTCATGCCTTCTACAGCTAGCTGGGGCTAAAAAGGCAAAGGCAGCTTTTAAAGAGCAACACCCTCCCCCCACCCCCTGCCGGGACTTCTGGGCTATGCAGGCTCCGGTGAGCTCCATCCATCACCCAGCAGAACAAAGTGCTCAGGCCTAGCAGGGAGACCAACCCCTGGAAGGGAACAATTTTCCCATTTCCTTCTCCCAAAAACATTTCAGTCTCCTCAGACCAAAACATCCTGAGCCCCTCTACCTGTCCCTCTCCCACTTGGTTGAGCGGTAGGCCAATGTGACTGGCCAGCAGACACCACCTTGAGACACAGCCAGGTGCCAACCTGGAAGTGAGCTGGGGCCAGAACAAGCTTCAACCGCTTCCACTCCCCCTCCACCACCAAAACAAACTACAGAAATTCCAGGGCCCCCTGTCCCATAAACTGTTTAACGAATAGCATTCCTGGGCCGGAAATTGACTCAGGGGCTCCTGACCAGCCAGGGCAGGCAAAGCTGACCGATAATATTCCGGGGATAAAGGAAAGTGAAAATATTGGGATCCCTCATGTTCTACCACACTTCTAGATCTCCAACACACAGACCCCAACCCCTGTCCTACTATAATCAAACTCCTTAGACAGGCAAAGTCGAAATAGACTCCATCCTGGAAAACCCTCCCATGAAGTGTGTAACTGCACTGGTTGCTGTTGACAGAGCAGACTGCCACTTCCCGGAGGACACCTCTCTGCCTTACAGCTGGGTGCCTGGCTTCCCTCAGGGTCTGGCCCAGCCAGAGACTTGCCAGGCCTGATAGCCTTGCTGAAAGTACCTAGTATCAGAAGCATCCTATGCTCTAATTCTGTCCTTTCCCATGCACGATGCTGGTTCTAATCTTGGGACGCCTCAGCCCACAGAGGCCACAGAGCTCAAGCTTGAAGAGGACCATGCTCAAGCTCAAGCAAGTCAGGATGGAGGCTGCCTACATTACAGGAGAAGTCCAGACCTTTATTCCTGCCTCAAGGGGTAAGGATGGGGCAAGAAGCTCACCAGTATGGTGGCAGCGGACACATCAGAGCAAACTAGACTTACCTATCTTCATGAGGCAGGCCAGCAGGATCCAGAGAGAGATCTCGAAGGGTGTGCGCACGTGTTTGTAGTCGATGCCCAGGACTGGAAAGGGCTTTCGAGTCTTCGTGCCATGTTCAGTGACTGAATGGTTAACAGGGCGGCTCTCAGGGGCAAGCTCTGGTGGGGCGGTGGTGACATCCCCAATTGAGCGTTCCCGTGGCGGCTCTGAGCCTCTGATGGTGCTGGCAGTAGGGCTGAGCTGCAGGCCATGGCTCCTGAGAACAGGCAGTAGCCCCACCAAGGCTACTACCACGAGCAACGAAGGGGAGACTCGAGGAGGAGAGGGACCGCACGTGCCAGACCACAGAAGCATCCTACCGCCCCCTCGGCCCAGTAGGCCTTGACCCTTAGCAAAGTGAGAGTAAGACCTGGGACATAGGTGGCAAGGGGTCAGCGGGTCAGAAGAGAGACTGGGGTAGTCTCTAGGAAAAGTTCATGTTTTAGAGAGGTCTTTTTCATGGAAGCAGTCCTCTGGGGGTGGAGGGGGGCTGGGTTCTCGATCTAGAACTCCAAACTGGGGAAGGGGGACAACGACCCAGGAAGGACCACAGGAGGAGACCAAAAGGTCTGGAACTCCAGGCCAGGGAAAAGGAGAGTGAGGGACAAACAGCACCTTAGGACAGAGGAAGGAACAGGATATGCTGCGCCCCAGGCAAGGAAAAGGAAGAGGAAAGGCTAGGACCCTCGGCTGAGGAAAGTGACTGAGCAGCGGGGACTCGGTTACGGGAAGGAGCAGGGAGCCTGAGCTAAAGGAAGGGGACAGAAGCGGGTGGGACGCAGTCCAGGAAAAGAAGCGAGAGGGCTGGGAGCCCAGGCTGCGAGGAAGAAGTGAAGCCAGAAAGCGGCCGGGAGCTTCCCCACCCAGAGGAGCGCCGGGGTGCAGGCGCGCGGGGCTGAGATTCCGGGGCAATGCGGGGGGGCAGGAAGGCGGAGGCAGGCGGCCTGGCGGGAGAGCGCGTCGGCGCGGGCTGGGGGCGGCTCACG